TGGAAATCTATGGGCTGGTCCTTGGGACGGAAGATCCCTGAGTGCCTGATGTACGGATGCACAGAAGGCAGAGAGGAGAGGAGAGCAGTGGAAATCTATGGGCTGGTCCTTGGGACGGAAGATCCCTGAGTGCCTGATGTGTGGATGCACAGAAGGCAGAGGAGAGGAGAGCAGTGGAAATCTATGGGCCGGTCCTTGGGACGGAAGATCCCTGAGTGCCTGATGTGCGGATGTACAGAAGGCAGAGAGGAGAGGAGAGCAGTGGAAATCTATGGGCTGGTCCTCGGGACGGAAGAGCCACCGCTGCTAGCAAAGCTCTGGGGATGAAAGGCAGGGGGCGGAGATGAATAGATGGGGCAGACAACTCTTCCTCTCCCTGCCGGAGGGACTTGTCAGCCTGCGGTGAGACTGTTTTGTTGCCGCTACTCCTCGTAAAGCAATCTTTGAGTTCCCTTCAGAGGGTTTTGTCGTGTTTGGGCAGCTGGGCCAGAACAAACTGCCCGAAGCACTAGGTGAGGATGGATCTATTGGAAATATTGATCACTCCTGTCTCTTTATCCCCCACTGCAATCCTATCGGCCCACTTATTTTGGGATGCAGAAGGCCAACTCAACCAATACTTAAGGAGATGCACACCTCCACAACATTTGCAACCTGTTGGACAACTTCGCAGGAAGTTAAACCAGCTGTTCTACACACCGTCCTACCCTTCACTCCATTCTGGGAGGTTTCAACTCCTAGGTGTAAGGTCAGAATTATTAATTTAATCAGAATGCAGCTAGTTCTCAACATACCATTTATTTAGTGGCTGTTTGAACGGCACTGAAGGAAGGGACTTATGACCAGTGTTCACACTTATGACCCTTGCAGCGTCCTCACAGTTCCGTCATCAAAATTCAGACTCTTGACAACTGACTCCTATTTATGACGCTTGCAGGGTTCCTGTGGCTCCCTTTTGCGACCGTCTGACAAGCAAAGCCAACGGGGAGGCCGGATTCACTTAACGACCGTGTGGCTCGCTTAATAACTGCAGTGACTCCCCTTTACCATTGTGGCAAATAAGGGCGGGGAACGTACTTCACCACTGCCTTGCTTAGCAACAGAACCTTTGGGTTCAAATTGTGGTCGTAAGTCGAGGATCGGACCCGGGCTGGGATTGTTACCCTGCGTGAATGGACACACCTGGAGATGCTTCAGGCCTCCCAATTCTTTGAGCAGCTCGATCTGTTCCTCGTTGCGCGGCTTCATGCGAAGGACCTGGTGACTGAAAGAGCCAAAAATCAAAATAAGAGCATTAATGTTTCGTCCAGTTTGACCCATTGACCCATTGCTGGGCATTCTGTATTCTGTATTTTACCTTTTAGCAGGTAAAACTCCAACTGGTTGTGGGAATTTTGGAGATAATGACACCACGAGCAAAACAGGTGGGCCTTTTGCAAATGTACCTGACCGTTGGAAGGGGCCTTGGAGGTCTTCTAGTCCAACCCCTTGGTCAGGCAGGAAACCCTACACCTTTTCAAGCAAATGGCTGTCCAGTCTCTTCTTAAAAACCTCCATTGACGGAGATCAAAGTTTAATGCCTATAAAGAGGATATATAATGTACTAATACAGATGGATTCGGCAACAGAATTAGTTAAAGATTGTATGATAAAGTGGGCTC